ATTTGGTCAAATTTATTGAGAATATAGGACTGCCGGTCATTTAGTGTTTTAAAAACTTTGACCGGCAGTCAACCTGAAAAAAGTTCTAAGTGTCACAAAACTGGTTTCGTTTTCTGAGCCCAGCGTAAACCAAAGGCTAGACTTGAGAGCATTTCAGAATCGCTTGACTTTTCTTAATCGACATATCGTGATATAAAAGAAAAGGAAAAGGAAACAGATGTCATTTGATCAAAGATAAATGATAAATGATGTTGTAGATCATTTTTTTGTCAGGTAATTTTTGTATTTCTTTTGTTTTTGGGTATGGTAATGTTGATAATGAAGTTGAACAAAGGAAAAATAAAAATTATCTAAGTAGACTAGTCAGCTTCCGTTGTCACTGGCATACTTACAGTTGACAAAGGCTGAGTTTTTTGAGCTGAAAAAGTTTGGGCCTCATATCAGTTTCTAGCCCAAGCACATTTTCTGTCATTTCACGTCAAAATAGATTATGATTCCATAATGAGCGAGAGTTTGTGATGTACAGTGGGAAAAATTGCACAATAAATTTAGAACATTTCAGAGGCTATTTTGGTGTCTCGAACGATGGATAATAAGTCACGAATCCCGAATTCAGTACCCAAATTTATATTTGTAACAGAAGTTTTCGCTTTTGAATCTGAAGGCAGTTGATTTAGCTTATTAGTATTTGAACAGAAATTTTGGATGGATAGAAATTTGCCACTTATTTTTTCTCACGTACCCCTTTAATAAGAAAGTTGGAAACAAGCCCATGAAACCTGATGTTTTCTTGAACTAAAGCTGGTGTGCCAAGCAACTCACATCATGTAGCCAATAGGTAATTTGGATATTTTTTGCGGTCATAGTGCTGTCAAATGAAAAATGCGCGTGGTTTCTATTTTTTCTGTAGCATGAAGTTCAGAAATAAATATTATATTTCCCGTTTGCTTTAGACTGCAAAACAGTCGGGTTTTTTCTCGAAATCGGTTTAACGTAGCGTAAGAATAGTGTTAGAGTCTCACGCTCGAGCACCTTTTGTTATGTTCGCGCATACTTGAATACGCAAAAATACGGGGTGTTTTGCGGTCTACGTTTGCTTCGACGTTCTTGCTTAAGCATGGGAGAAAAGAAGGAAAAATGAAGCGTAGGAACAGCGAAACGGGGGAAGCAGCTACGACAGCAACAGGGGCAGATCTNAAAAAAAAAAAAAAAAAAAAAAAAAAAAACTATGTGGTTTATTGGTGTTGAAGTAGAGCAAGAGACGAGTGCACCCCCTCCTAAAAAAAATCCTGGATCCGCCCCTGAGCAACTGAATACCCGACTGACAATATAAAGTCCCCAGCGTCATCTTCAACTGTTTTATTTGGGTACTGAGCGAGCTGGCTTTGAAACCCCTAAAAATTCTATTCAGTTTGTTTCTTCTGTTTTTTACTTTGCTTCGGTGGGAACTCATTTTATTATCTTTCCTGTACTAGCTAGAGGATACAGTGGAAATTGAAAAAAGTCCTTTGTCTCTCGTTGGAATATCTGTGGAAAACTTTTAATGGTTTCTTCGAACTTATCACTAATTACCACTAATGCCTTTTTGTGGTGAACCACAAAAGAATCTCCGAAAATAGTTTTGTGAAACAGAGCTGCTAAACAACAAGGCGCGGCTTACCATTTTTAAAAGCCTTAGTTCTTTGAAGTCGTGTATGTGTAAATTCGAATAGCAACTGACAGACACGGAGTTTTACTGCAAGAACAACCTGACAAGTGCCATAGATTGTGAAGCCCACACAAGATCGATGTGTAACCATTTGTTCTGTAGCCTGACATTCATCCGATTGTTTCGAGTCGTTTTCTCCTCTCAACAACGTCGTTACTGAGGGAGTAATAACGACTCGAAGTAATCGGATGAAATTAAGGCTAACCAGGACACTAGATTTACCACAAATTTTACTTTATCGCTGAGAATTGCGAAAAGTAAATTTATCTGCCCTACATACGTTTTACAGTCAGGTTAGGCGGTTAGGCTAATCTGTGCTAATCCAAGAGTCTTTCAGAAATCCTGAGTTCCTTTTCCGGCGATAAATTAACCGCGATAACAGCGCGGTATTACTGGTACTAGCCTTTTCCAGGCTCTCAGATAGGATGACGCGCAAGTGTCAACGCAAGTGTAAGGCAATCAAATATAAGCAAAGCGTAAAAGGGAGTGGCGAAGGGCGGCGGAGAAACGTCGGAGGGAAAAAGGAAGCCCTTCTTCTCCCCAGTTGCCTCCCGTTTTATCTTCGTGTTCGCGCTTTCTCAATTTCGCGAACCCGACTATCTTGAAGCCTGAAACAGGCTACGCTGGTACTCATACCAAATAAGGGTAGGTAGAATCATCTCTTGGGCAGTGGCTACGTGATCATCTTTCCCATCAACTTCCGGTATTTTGTCTACACAAGGATAACCCCCTTTGTTTAACCAAACTATCGAGAGTGTTGCTAGCCTGCGAGCAAGCTCTCCTATTTGGGCAAGCGAAGCGAGCCTCGCGATAACGCGTTCTCGCGAGAGTGTTGCCAGATATGACCCATTTATGTGCATAGTCTAGTTCGCTGTTGTGGACACCATAGGGGCCGCGACTTAGTTTCCTCAATAGGGAACTTAAACAACTACTAACGCGACGGCTACAAAAACGTCTCTTTAAAAATTGAAGTCGCTGAACTTCAAATGTTGACGATTTCTTCAGGAGTTGAATGCTAAAGGACTGCATCTACATGAGTTCAGAAAAAGAAAAAGAAAATCGTTGTCTTGTGTTTGTGTTCGTCGTTGTCGTGCAACCACGGCAAAGAAATGTACAAGAAATCGTATTATGCAAGAAAGTTGTTGTTTTGCTACTGTGAACCTATTATTGCTTTCTTGCCGTTCTCGTTCCTGTCGCCGTCGTCGTTGTTTCTGTTCTCAACTGTCACGACATAAAAAACTTAAAATCAAAACTGTTAGGTATAAATTCCAGAATCTGGGAAAGGAAAGGAGGTAATTATACAGAGGCCCCCGCCGAGTTTCAGGTCAGTGCAGTTTTTAATATGCGAGATCATTTTCGGAGAAATGATTTGCCCATATTTATAGAACTTTGTAGGAAGACGCCAAGTTGGTACCAATCCGGATGGGCACTATGGGCACCAACATATGCCGGCCGGAATTAACTGAAACCCACAGAAACATCTGTTACTGAGTTTGCTACGAATGCGTGGATTCATCTAATCTCCTGAGGAACTCGATCATAAACATTACACCGACATTAAAGTAGTACTTTTTGTTATACAATAACGGTTCGGATAGCAAATTTCCTTAAAATAAGTCATTTTTTTAATCCTACGTGTCAGCTCTCTCGGCCGTCATGTAAATGCTGTGGCAAGCAAGAGCTAAGAAATTCAAGTGTATCTTATCATAACCAAAAGACTCTTTCGAAGTGAAAATGCGTATAAATGTTATTTTTTAGCTGCTCTAATACTTCTCCAAAGTAAAAAGTCAGGAGGCTCGATAATTCTTTAGTTTGATTTTTGATTACGTAATGTGAAAACCAGCATGAAAGTCCTGGAAGTCTGACATGCGTACCGGGCGTTGACAGGGGTAGGCGATAAGGAGGAAGGGGAAAAGGGAGGGGCATTGGAGAGAGAGAGAGAGTATTGAGCGACAAACGAATCGTAAATCTACCCCAAAGAGGTACATATAAGACAACAAATTGTATCCTAAAGCAATGCCGCAAGGTGTCCTTTATAACAAGAAATAGCCTGCGTAGGAAGCGTTTCCGCGCAAGTTTGTTGCGCCAGTTACTAGTTAAACCAGAAGCAATAAAGAAAGACTGAAAAGAACTGCAAAAGAACAATTTCCACTTAGAAGATTATTTTAAAAAAAGTAAAACAGACAGACGTCACGGCTTGGAAAAGCGCCCTTGGGACGAGGTTGCAAAGGAATGGGTTGATAAAGAGTAGTGGGGCTTAAAAGGGAACCTCCACTCTTCTTTCGAACAGCGTCTGGTAATCGAGCATACACCAGAGCGAACGCAACGAGCTCAGTCAGTACAGAGCGGGATATCGCGGGTTTGATTCTGAGGACCGGACAAATACTCAGGGTTCTAAAGTAACTGTGAAATGAAAATATTGCCTTGTCCTGCAAATGGCTAGACCTTCGCGTGGATCGCCTGGTCACGTAAAATGACAATCTCGTCTCCAGTAGGAGAAGAGAAAATAGTGTCCTCAATTAGTGCTTTCGGATAAATTTAAACTTAAGTAAACTACGTCTATTATTATCATTATCATTATTATTATTAATAATATTATAATCATTTTATAGTAATTTTTTCTAGTGTTGATGCTGATGATTATTGATTTTGCTGTTACGTCATTTACTTGGGGACCTTGGGTCTGGAAGCGGACATACACCCTCAAACCTTTTTAAGGCATATCTTGATTCTTCCTACGCTATACTAAAAATGTATATATAAAAACAAGGAAAGACTGGTTACAATAGTGCACTACTGTAGTTCACACAACTTTACACAAGCGTCACACCGATAACTTGAAAAATAGGCAGCAAGGCACTGTTTCGACTAAAGGTGTTCATTCGTGGACCTTTTACAATCAAACTCAGAAAACCGTGAACGGCAGAAAAATTTCACGAATGTTGATTGTGTAGTGACCAATCACAATGAAGTTCAGGATATGCGAGCAAACCAGAAAACCGAGTGTAACTACACTCTATAACGAGTGTAGCTAAATGTCGTGGGTCGTGGGTAGAGGTCGTGAGTCGTGGGTGTTGGTAAATGTTGTGGGTACAAAAATTATAGAAGAAAATGATAACCTAAAGTAATTGAGAAAAAAAAAATAGAAAAAAGTTGTAAAATATTCATGAAACGAAAATCTCCGACTCCTGGATTGCCCTTTTCACGGCTTCTTCTTCGTCCTCTTCCTGATATTTCCTTAGCCACGTGAAGAGCTGTTACAAGGTCTTTCAGTGTAACAAAAATCCGATTCCTAACACAATCCTTGGTCAATAATCCCACCAATCGTTTGTTGCAATGGGGAATAATTCGATGCATTTCCCGCGGACAGCGTGCGTAAACTAAAGACTTTCCATCTGTGGTTTATCTTACACAGACTGCACATGATAATGGCCTGGGAATAAGCTGCGTGTTGCATTTGGTCACTGCAAAGCTGCTTGTTGGGCTCTTTGGCGTCAAAGAAGCGCAAGCTGGGATTTTTGTACTTGGAGATGTTTGGTGAGCTCCAAGCACTCAGCGTGAAGAACAGCTTGTCGACGGAAGAAGGCAAACTTTTCAGCTTCACATGTATAGTATGGTGGCCAATTCGCTTGGCGTTATCCATTACATCGCCAGAGTGAGTAACTCCAAGGAAACCACGATGAGACCAGTCTACTAACCCCTGAAAATAGTTCTCACTGTAGATAAGCACAGACGCATCTAAATAATCTATCCCTCTCGTTGGATAGCCCCAGAACAAGTCAAAAATCACATGATCAAGAGACTCGGAGATCTCGTACAACACCACGATGAGATGCAGAGTACTGAATGGCTGGATACCATAATCTTGTAAAGTGGCCTGTTTGCCAGTGCTTGTGTGAATCTGGAATGATATTATAGTGAGAGACAAAACCAGAAAAACACTCACAAGGGGTTGAAAGGTGTAACTCTTATATTTTTGCTTTGTCCGATAATGGCGAATAATCATTTTCGCAAGTATTTTATTTTGAACGAGAAGAAAACATACTGATAAATCAAACTTTGTAATCGACGTGACGTAATTTTACTCCACGTTACCGGCCCGCTCAAAAAATAGGGAGCGCTAGCAACAAGAACGGCAACGGCTACGAAAACGTCACTTAAAAAGTGAAATCGCGCTGCTTCAAACTTTAGTTAATATCGCTATCGCTCTTATACCATCTCATTCAGTCCGTCAAATGTTAGGAAACTTTTTCTGGAGTTGAATTCTTAAGTATGTACCGAATTACGGGAAAGAAAAATAAAGTCGTTGTCTTGTGTTTTCGCCCACCACAAACCGTGAAATTAGGCACTTTTACGTTGTATCTCGTCGTAGTCCTGGTAGTGGTACAGTGACGGCAAAGAAATGTACAAAAAGCGTAATGCACGTGCAAAGCTGTTGTTAAACCTTTTACTTTTGCGAGGGTTTCCAAATACTGAGAAAAATGAGTATTCACTCGCATTGAACGCGAGTTACACATTTCAAACTAATGAGTTTCTGACAAAACTGAATCAAAAACAGCTGTGAAAGTGAGAGAGTTGAGTATAAAAGGAGGGAAATGTTTCGCCATGAAATGATAGGACTGAGTCATTATTTACAATACAAATGAAGCTCTGCTCTGCTCAAACTCAGTTTGCTGAACTGTTGCTATCATCATTATTTCATAAATAACCCAGACATTTTGCATTGTCAAAAGTTTCAGGCTCAGCAAAACAGAGTTACAAATTATTGGACGACTTGTGTGTACGCCCTGTCCACTCCTGTCAGAAAATTTATTGTCATTGTCAAGTACTGTCGGTAAAGAAATAAACCAAAATGTTTGACACACGTGAAAAGTCCTTGTTATACTCATTCAAACCTACTGATTTTTTAACCTTCGCCGATTGCTGTCCCCGTTGCACATCAAAAGCCTACAATTGCATAGTTTACCAGATAGCTGTTGCTCGGGCACGAAAACCATAGGCTTTGCTTCACACATACGAATAGTGCTTTAGGACGGTTTCTATGACGGAGAGAAGCTGCGTCTCGCTGATCTTGAAAGTGATCATCACATATCGGATAAGGGTTTCTCCGCCCCTCCTCGTGGTAGTGCGGAAAAGCGTTTATACCAGGAGGCCAGAGGATTGTAAATGTCGACACATAAGCTATAGCTGGTATACGTAGTGTAGACATTCACATATGTGGTATAGTCTTAATGTTTAGTAACCCGGCACGCGGGTTCATACCTTAAGCTCTTGTTCTTTGTGTAGCAGGCGTTGTTTGTCTGGATCTGGACCAAGCCTTCTTTTTACGAAATCCTTCAGCGATAGAATTGTCAAATGTGGTTGGTACTGTAAAACAGTACTGTCCCCACCCAACATTACAACAGATATCGTTTTTTCGCCTTCCGCGGATGGCCAGTCGGTATCTTCAGGAGCAGAAGACACATTGAGTTTTGGAAACAGATTCTCGAGTGTGGCTAAGCATTCAGTATAGTGTGGGTTGTCCATTGTTACGGCTTGAGGGCACTGAGAACACTTATGAAACTTCTGAACGTGCCTTGTTACACACTGAAAGGAAAAAAAGCTGTTCTTACTTTCAAATCACTTCATAAAATAAAAAACAAACAAACAAACGAACAAATAAAAACAAAACAAACACTCCTTGAGGAGATCAGTAGTTGCAGCCACTATAGCCTCTCAATGCATGAAACAAGTTTCCCGTAAACCTTGTATTTTTTTTCACCGTTGATATGAATGTGGACGCAAGGCCAAGACGCAACTGACAGAAAACACATTGGTGCAGACAGGCTAGAAGCACTAAACCCGATTAGCAAGAGATCATAACAGGACACTGTCCTACTATAATCTCTTGACATTAGTGTTGTACTATTCACACAAACATCAGTAAAGTGTTAGAGCGATTTTCGTATGATCTTGAAGTGAAAAAACGCGAACAAAATGGAAACAATAAACGAACGGAAAGATACTTCGCTTTGACGTCATAATGCAACAAAACTATTGGCCAATCGAACAATGCCTTCTCCATATTAGGTTTTTGTTTTGATCATTTCATCGATTGGCTGCTAAAACAAATAACGAACACTTATCGAAACCATTTTTCAAGGTCATACGAAAATCGCTCTAATTGTGAATGGAACTGTTGCTTTTACTCACTCTGAGGCAATGCAGGGGCGCATGTTCACAGTTATCCGTAATGGCATTTGCAGGAAACTCTCTGCGAAGTTTTCTGGTTTGGCAAAGGTCACAGTACATGTTTACTAACCCTAGAACATAACGATGACACACCAAACTGAATCACAAAGGTACATTTGTACCAAAAGTTAAATAATCATCATGTTATACAGGGGGGGATCCAGGATTTTATTTAGGAGGGGATGCACTCGTCTCTTGCTCTACTTCAACACCAATAAACCCCGTAGTTTTTCTTTTTTGCAGAATACCAGTTGTATTAGTAAACCGCAGGTCATCTCAGTGAGGGGGGGGGGGTGCGCACCACCTGCACCCTCCCCCTAGATCCGTCCCTGTTATAAGCTCAGGATAAGAGAAACACAACTGATGGAATTGGAACCCATAACGTTAGGGCGCCCTAATCACCGACTACGGAAAGACACATAAGGAGCTAAAGATTTACTAGGTTCATGGCTGAGCTATAGGTACGAAAATTTGGTTGCAGGTTTCAGGGCGTTGGCCCTTTTGATGAGGTGACCGTGCCTCCGCCCACACCATAGGATAACCAATGTCAAATGACCTTATTTACTTTGTGTGGGAACCTGATATCTGTGTTTAACTTGATGCATAACGTCCAGGTGGCAGGGGTGGGGGTGGAGGGTTATGAACTCGTCAATGCTCTACTATATGGGGATCGCGCGGCGAATGAGCTTGGCTGACGTCAGGAGCACTTATCCTGGGAAGTTCGGGAAGTTTTATTTGGAAGCAAAGAAAAAGCTAGCGAAACGTGGCTACCAATGTATTTTGTCTCTGCAAATTGTAATATTCTCTAGAAAACAGCATTTTGACTGTAATACGACAAGCATTTCTTGAGATCGGTACGTGGCAAGCACTTATAAGCTTACCTACAATCGTAATATCTGCGCGGATATCGAAAGAATCTAAAATCAAAAGTCCTCTTTTCAGCCATAAAATGAACCCTTTATTGATCTAGTTTGTTCGATCAAGATGGCTGGATATTGCCTCGTTGTTGTTGTTGATGTTGTTGTTTTGCTATTTTATTGACCTCGCCTTCTTCTCGGTTCATAAATAGAGAAAAAGACATCTTTCTTTAGGTGCACACGTGATAATCATTTCCCGCCACTTCAATAACGTGATGTGTTCATTCTAAATCCTAACCCTTCTTGCAAATCGAGCACTTCTAAGTAAAAAGTCGACCAAATTTGATCAAATTTTGCCTTTCGTATCTCAAGTTCCCTGAAAAAATGAAAACTGAAGGACTACACAGAGAGGCGCGAATTTTTTAAAGGCGCCCGCGCAACTCGAGCAGCTCGAATTTCTTCCCACGTGTTTTTGCGAGTGTTTGGATGAATATGTACGGCTGCCAGACTGATTGAACGGTTCAATCCCAGGACTGTTTTTATTCATGTTTTATTTACCTGACATCAGTGCTAGTGGATGTAAACATTTTGGCGGGCAGCAACCTTTACGTCCTACAGAGTCACTTCACTTCCAATACGGTCGAAGTTCCTGAATTTGATGCCCTTGAGCGAAGAAGCCATTCTCTTCTTGACTGTGCCGCGGACCCAATTGTTTTCAGCCAATTCTCAAATATTGCCGTCTATTTAAAATACCTTCGAGTCTACGAGGCCACGGACAAATATCATACTGCATAAACTGATACGTACCTGTACGAAGGATTTTTAAAGGTCTTCCACCTATGAGCTTAAATATGGACAGTTCACCGCTCACTGTGTTGATCAGGAAACGATCCGGGTTATGAGTGAAAGAGGCGTTTGTTGAACTCCTTTACACTAAGGCAAGTTAGCACTCAATGCTTACCTAGTCTTAAAACGCGTTCCTCAATCGAACTTCGTGAAATAGACCAAAAGTACCGAATAATTTCGTTTGTTCTTATCCTAACCACGAACCGTGGTTATGATTTCTGAATAGGTTAACCGAAGTGTCAATAATCCTATCATCATATTTACCATAAAAGGTATGCAATGTGAATTTCTTGGAATCGGGTGGTTTCGAAAGTCGTTTCGTAGATTCTTGGAAAGAACGTGGTGGGAAGTGTTGGTAGTGCGAAACTCATGCGACTTTCCTAGAAATTAGTTCGTGCCGAACTCAACAGCAGAACTTAGTGATGTTTCAAGCTAATTGTATTATGGTTTCTAACTGGTAACAACTGGAAACTATGGCGGGTTAAAGATTCGGAGAATAAGATTTTGCTGCGGGAAAGGAAAGGTAAGATAAGTGTTAAATGTATTTTTTTCTGTCATTAATCTTATGATGCGCTGTGGTTTTGGATGACATGGTTAAGTTGGGGTGTAGCACTACTGTATGTCTAATATCCTCTATTTCTTCGGCTTTTTTAAACTCAATTATCATCTACATCCACATCTACATATATTAGGTCGGTTACTAAAGAGAGGTGGATGCTGTGAAGGGATTATTACACGATTAAAGTTGTTTGGAAAAATTCGATATATGGGAGCTTTTGGGCCACAGGAATGGGATTTTTATCTTCAATTTTCTTAGTTATCAAACGACAGAGGACGGCAGATAGATTGAACAGATATGCTTTGGCAGCGTCATTCTTGTCTATTCAGTAATCTATTTTAATTTTTTGATTCCATATCAGTGGGTGGGGTGAACTGCTGAGGAGGGTGGTGGGGGGAAGGGCTTTGCTACATATGTTTTGGTCTTCTTATCCAGAACGTGGAGGCATCAGAAGTTGGTTACTAAATATTTCTTCAACATTATATGGTATTATCTTACGCACAAAATCCGAGCAAAGATGGCTCCAAATTTGAGGGTCAAGGATAGCTCTTAAAACACGCCACCCAACTAACATTATACTGTCAAGTTGTCTAATTATTGTTTCAATGTTTAGATTAGCATACTAATTAGTTTACTGTTAATTCTTGGAAAGTGGGTGGGGGGCAGATCTAAGTATTCCTAGAAAGCTCCTTAGCTTGTGGGGTTTCATTTCTGAGAAAATTAGCACATTGAACAACTTTATTATAAATTCAGTTCAAGGGAAAATACAAGAATCACTTCACCAGAATAAATTTTTCAAATGTTACTATGCAAATTTTGTTGTATATGTTGTCTGGGTCACAGATTAATGACCATAACATAGGATGAGTTAGGCTAGATAAGAGTCTGACAAAAGCCTTCTTAGAAAGTGGGTGGACTGAACTGCTGAGGAGGGTGGTGGGGGGAAGGGATTTGCCACATGTTTTAGTCTAAATTCTTATCTAGAATGTGGTTTTTGTGACACCTAAAAGAAATGCACAGAAAAGTTTTACCATACCATCAGCCTGCTAAATATGGAGAATGAGGCATTAGAAATTGGCTACTATTTATTTCTTGAACATTATATAGTATTATTTTACTATTATAATTTTGCAAAATCCTTGCACAGACAACTGCAAATTTGAAGGCCAAGGATAGCTCTTACAGTGCGACCGAGAAAACCTGAATACTTGAAATATCTCAGGAATGTTTATTAATTGTGTTATGACTAATCACAACAAAGATCAGGACTTGTGAATTAGCCACAAAACCTCAAACTAATTAACGTCCTTGCTTGCGGTTCAGTTTTCTCATGCCTGATTGGCTTTTTTCTTGCAACACAATAACATTTCAGAAATGTATTTGGTGTTCAAAGTTTTCCCAGTTTGACTGTAAAACCTACCCCAGGACCAACCCCATCCTACCAACAGTATTAAGTTGTCAAATTATTATTTCAATTCTTGGAAAGTGGGTGGGAGCAGATCAAAGAATTCTGAGCTCCCTATTAGGTTTCATTTCTGAGGAATTCAATTCCTTTTATGTCTTTGTCAACTGCAGGGGGTAGCATTAATTTGTCTGTGAAATCCGAATAACAAGCTATCTTTTACAAATTACATACCCATCGTTCTTGAAAGCTGTGCATTTATTAATAGGAACTCACCAAATCTCACTCTTCAAAATTGGCTCATATTAAACAACTTTATTATAAATTCAGTTCAAGGGAAAATACGAGAATCACTGTACCAGAAAAAAATAATGATGCAATGCAAATTTTATTGGATATCTTGTCTTGGTTGCAGCTTAATAACCATAACATAAGATGTGTGGTAGGTTAGGTAAGTCAAGCCTGACAAAAGTGCTTTATCTGTTTTCTTTTGAGCCCTTTAATGGCCAGGTCATTACCATGCACCCTAACATTTATTAACACAAATTTATTAAATACAAATTTTGTATAGTGGTTCTGTTTTATTGCTAATTATCTAATTTTTATTTCTCTTTATGTAAGGTTTATTATTTTGTGAAGATAACAAGCATTATCACTATAATTGACATAGAAAACGGAGGAGTTTACCTTGGATACTCAGCCAGAACATATTGCATGAATCAGTGCAATATAGACATAATTTCTACTACATCATCTAATAACGTATCTGCAAATTTTTTCTTGGGCCAAACAAAATTACTTGTTGGTTCATTGTGGTCTCTCCTAAATTATTTTCATGGTCGAAGAATTAATTACACTAATCAATTTTAATTGGTGTGGTAAATACCCCATTATTAGTAAAACAGGATCATGTGTAATTTTAAAAGGGATATGTTAGTAAATTAAATTATCTATTTATAAAAGGGTCACGTTTTATTTTGTTCATACATTTATTTTGCTGATTTATTTATATCAATTTTTCTCCAGTATAAGCATTAAATGATATTTTGGAATTGTGGATTTTTGTCCTAAAAAGTGTGTGCATCCAAGTAAACATTCACTAACAAAAATCTGAGTGATTTTTGATTTGATTATTTCTGATCATTAAGTTAAATGGTCCCTGAAAATGACTTTTTCTAACTTTCAATGTGTAACTTACTTAAATCGTGGCAGATTGAAACTTAAGATGTCTGGAGATTTTCATCATGGAGGTGGTGGAAGTACTGGATCTGATGGTGCAATAAATCCCGGTTTTGATCCCTTGGATGCAGCTAGTACTGGTGAACATGGCAGCTCTTTCAGTAATAATAATGATAGTCATGGTGTTGACCAAAGAGCAGCCTATTGGAAAGAATATGCAGACAGAAGCTTTGAAGAATATTTTTCAAACTGTCCTGGAAGCTCAGCAAACTCAGCACATGGTACAGGATGGGAGGAGCAGTCAAATCCAGCTGTAAGTTAAACAGTATAATATTAGATATTAAGCCTGCATAGGTATTTTTTTTAGGTGGGGGGTTATGTGGGGGCAATTCCTTGCTAAAATGTATTCCCTCCACCCGGTCACAAATTTTATGTATTGTCTTTGAATGAAGGAAGGAAAAATAAACAATTAGTAGTATTAATATTCTTTTTTTTTTATATTGTTTTTGTATGAATGAAAGAAAAAGAAACAATTAGTATTGTTCTTTGTTTACAACTATGTGCACTTTAGGTTATTACTTAAGTGAATATTTGACTGTTCACTAAACTTAAGCTATTAGTCCATTGCTTTTAAAATATGTGTAAGTTTTATAATATTTATTTGAATATTTTTACGTAAGAAATTTCTCAAACTTTTTTATTTTTACAGGAAGTTGGAAATGACACAGCTGAAGAGGAATGTATTAAGCCGCAGGAACCCTCTCATAATAGGGAACAGGTATACTAATAATAATTGGCATTCTTTTATTAAACTTAGATAAATATTACTGTTGAATCTCTTCACGATGGCCACCTTGGGGACAGAAGAAAATGGCCATAATGGTAGAGAAGTGGCTGTTGTAGAGAGGTTTAAACAGGAGTCAGTGAATGGACTGCCCACCAAAATAGTGGTTGTTGTACAGAGGTTGCTGTTGTGGAGATGTGGCTGCTTAAGTGGAGGTTCCATTGTACATTGTGTTTTTAGATTTTTAGATGGCCATGAGAATGATGACAGTTATAATAATATTACAGTGAAACCCTGCCTTAACCGCCACCTCAGTGATACAGCCGCCTCGTGATTACATGCGGCCACTCTTTTTTGGCCGCCCAGCAAAATGGCGGTACATTTTCTTGTAAAAAACCCTCATTAATCAATCACCCGTTAATACGGCCAAATTTTTTTGGCCCATTGGTGACTGTAATAATGGGATTCCACTCTAATAACAATGATAATGTGATAATTAACAATTAATAAATGAGGCTGAGTATCTAATGAAGAATTATGGAGATCGAGGAGGGTGTTACAGCCTCGACGGATAACACGCTCCAAGATCTCCAAATTCTTAATATGCATGATACGAAAGCCGAATTCAATAATTGTTTTATTATTGCCAAGGAAGCAACCGAGCTAAGAAGCAAGGTTGACTCGGCGGCAGAATTATAATGCCGTACAATGTAGGCAAAAACTCTCAAGTTCTGCGTAACCCTCTAAAATTTGCATTTTTTACCATATTTGGGTGTAAGTAAGACCCCATATTTGGGCAGTGACATCATGGTCTTGTATTTATAACTCGTGGTTTAAGATTGAGTGATTCAGTGTGCAGCTGTTCCTTGTCTGTTCAAGAGGACCTAACTGGTGAGCAAGCTTTAATACAATTTCTAGTTTGAAAGGGCAATTAGTGCTCTGGTTTGCTTTATAAATTGTGTTTAAAGCAATAGCTGATCAAGGAATAGGGTTTTACGCTCAAATTTTTGTCAGAACTTGCTTGTTCTTTGCAGCTTGATTTATATTGAGGTAGCGTGTTCGCTTGTCGACTCAGAACCAGGGTTTTCAGTCTTCTCTTTTCCTTTGTGAACTTAATTTTATGCAGAAGTTGATCAAAGCATAGGGTTATATTCTCAAAACTTATATCAGAACCAGCGTGTTCTTCGCAGGTCGATTTACATTGAACCAGTCCTCACCTCCCGTGAGGAATGCAGCGTATTTGCGGACCTTTTTTTAAAAATTTATTTATGTTTTTCGAGAGATTTTGTCAACCAGCATGTTTTTTTGCTGCTCGATTTACATTGAGACAGCCCAAAACTCCCGTGAGGAATGCAACGAATTTGCGGACCTTTTGTTTTTCAGACTATCATTATGCCTTTCAAGAGACTCTTTGTCCTGTGACATGCGCTCATTAGATCTTTGTATTTTATTCAAGTTTATATGTTTATACTTCTAATACATTTTGCCCATTCTTGCACACTTTTCACACATTTTAGTTTACAGCAATTTTTTTCTTATGTATATTACCACGCAAAATATTTTTCTTATCCCTGATGATGCTGTTGCTGGGAATTTAAATATTATTTTAATTTCAGTAGTCAAAGGCCTCATTTGAATATACTTTTCTTTCTAACGTTTATAGTTTTGATACAATGGAATTTTCCATGAAACATAACTTGCTCATATTTACCAACAAAGCTTCAAGCCATGTTGTTATTGTTTAACAAAAGTGAAAGCCTAGAATGTGCCAAAGTTGTTGTTTTGAAGTTGTGTGCCATCCTTTTCTATAGCAGAATCCATTTAAAACCTCTAAAATTATGAAAGAAGATCTGAATAGACACATTCCACAAAAGAGAAACGAATTCGCCTTGTTGGCACTTGCCGGAAGGTACACCTACTTCAGTCAAAATAATTCCTAGTTTAAAAAAACGACGTTTTAAAAATGGCTAAAACATGCTTACCTCCATCGATCCATCGATGTTAAGTTCATCGATAGTGCACAAATAGGGTTGTCCAGCTCCGCAAATATTCTCCAAATAGCAGATGCCGCCCTTCGAGTTGTCTTCTTGCTGTTCTTGCCATGTTTTTAGTTATTTTTTCACCTAGTTCTTACTCTTGAAACGAGTGAAATGTCCGCCATTTTTCAAGTTCACAACCAAAACAACTCAACCTCGTCTCCAGGTCTTCTCGGTTAACGGTGCCTTAACCTGCACGAACGCTGCATTTTTGACGTCATTTCCTCGTTAAACACAAAATTCTTCCAAATTTGGTCATCAGAAACTGGTTATAGTGAATTATGCGTGTGCTTTTAGCCAGTCAGAATCGGGGAAATATTTTGAATGAATAATAAGTACAATAAGTCTGTTTTCGCCATGCGATTGGTCAATCTGCGGTCCGTAACTTGCTATACGGACGCAAATTTCAAAGAAAATGCTCATTTCGGAGCTCTAAATCTCTTTATCTCGGAAAAAAGGTTGAATTAAAGTTACAAGACGTCTATCAACCTTGAGGACTTAGATTTTGACTTTTTCCTTCAACCTTTTAAACTGTGTTTATTTGTGAACGAAGGCGATGAAGAAACTAACTCGTAATCTTATCGAAGAGGATTCTAGTCAGTGTTTGAAAATTTTATCGTATTACACATTTAAGAAGACGAAAATCGACCGGCAGAGATACGAGATGTTTTGCGTAAGAGAAAATGAGTAATTCCTTCGACAAATATGATAACAAACAAGCCTGCACCCGATCATATTGACGAGCTTCTTTGCCATTTGCAGTGTTTTTCCAAAGACCAACGAAAGAAAACTTGAAGCGACTTCGAGCCGGACACAATATATGTCCAGTTTTCAAAAGACTCCATCGTCACATTGCCGAGTGAATACTTACACTAAGTGCTCTTAGTTTTGACCGAATATACTTAAAAATATGTCTGTAAACCCTGGGGACTGGGATGTTGACTTTGCCTTCCCAGATTTTAACCTAGCTTTGTTTGAATGAGAACGAAGCTGATGTAGAAACTGAGTCATAACCTTTCCATGGAAGAGAATATGGTCAGTGTTTGAAACTTTTATCGCAGATCACACTTGAAGACGAGAATGAACTGGCAGAAATTCGAGAGGCTTTCCCGAAAAAATTAACGAGCGAATCCTTCGGCAATGACAACAAACTTACCTTGAAAAGCTTCTTTGCCTTTTGCAGTGTTTTTTTTTACAAGGACCAACGGAGGAAAGATGGAAACGACTTCGAGAAATACCACAGTGCCCGGTTTCCAAAATACTCCAGCATTACATTAAAGAGCTAAAACTTACAGCGCTCTTAGTTTTGACCAGGGAGGGGGGCGGGGGGCGGGGGGTGGGGAAGCAACTTCCCATACATTCTCTTAATGAAATCCAAACGATGTTCTCACAACTTGCAAAGCGATCAGCAAGGGTCTTGCCAGCGGATTTTTGTACTGATCATGCGCCTTTCGTCAAAAACCATAGATTCAACGGTTTTGAAAAGAAACAAAATCATGGCGGCCTAAGGCGGGACTGTTTCTCACTATTACATTTTGGTAAATCGCAAATTTTTTGGTTTTATGTCGCTTTTCAGACATAGCCTATGGTTTTCTTTTTCTGTTAAATAATTTCCCTCTGCAGTGTTTGGAATATGCAACATATAGCTGCGTATAGCTGATAAGAACCGTCGAAGAGTTGAGCTATCGAGCAGTGTTTTGCTGCAAACCTTTCACCTTTGAATTCAAGGTGTTGACTGATCGTAATAAACGAAGTGAAACGTTATGAAGTGTGACTATATGTTTATTCAGGTATGATATGTACAGCTGTAAGTTCATATTTATTGGGCTCTCTTGAATATACTTACTTCCGATAAATTTGACTCTTTTTCCAATATTTTTTATCAGCATCGTAATTTCCATAGTCCTTTGATATCCGCGCTCGGCAAAAACGATGTAACCTATAAATCGATCGAGCGTGTTGTTGTTTTTTAAGATCTAACACGATTGTCAACCCAATTGCGGTTTAGTTTCCCCCTGCGATTTCAGTACCAATAGACAAATACGATATGCAAGAAAAACAAAGATGCATGATATTATTTTTTCAATGTTTTAATCATTTCTTCTGCCGGTTCGCTTCTAGCTTATCAAAATATTTAGTGTGGGAAAAGCATCTGTTACCCGCTGACCACCACGAAGGGTGACCGCTTGCAAGTTGTGAGAACATCGTTTCTCGGTCCCAGACCTCGTCTCTTCCCCCCCCCCCACCCCCACCCCCGCTGGTTTTGACCAAATAAACTTTTTCAACATGGCGAATTTGTTTTCACTTTCTCGGAAAGACTTTGTTGTGAGCTATTGTTTTCGTTAATAGCCAATAAAAACTTTTTTTCCCCCAAATTGGGAGGAGCCATGTAATAAACATCTTATTAGCCTCGTTTTTTGGGTCCGTGCTGTAAATTACGGATCCTTGTTTTTTCCATCGATTTTCGCGCTTGGGCCATAAATCGGTGGAAAAAAACTCGGTCCGTAATTTACAGTACGGACCGAAAACTCGGCTAATAAGAGGTATGTATGTATTCGACTGTTGATAAGATCTTTCACAACCACCACTTCATTTCAGCAGATTGTAACTACATTATCCCTTCATAACCAATTTAGCACTCCCACAACTACCTCACTGAAACACCTAAAATCACTTTCACTTTCCAAAAGATACTTTTTATTACTTCAAGTAGTGGTATCCCAGCAGAATTATACCCTTTTTGGGCAGCCAAAGTGGGCAGCAAAAAATTAATAAATGACTCATGAATAAGACGCGCGGGAAAGGTCTTAATTTATGCGGGCATGCTAAAATGTCAACTTGTCAAAACAAAACAAAAGGATCACGAAGCATGTTGAGACAATTACTAGTTTAAGTTGAATGTTTTATTATAGTTCTTGACTAGTAAGTTGTAATGGCTAATAAACACCTTAGATTGGCCTCGTCTTTGGTACGAAATTAAAATGTAGTCATTGCATGGTTTTTAAGCGTTTTCAAATGCAAAAGGTGCACGTACAGTAACAACCAGCGTTTAAGAACCTACAATTTAAGAACCTGTTAGGCTAAAGTAAAGTCAGTCAGTAAAGATAAAGGCAAATTTATGGTATGCTTATCATGTAAACTTCATTCAAGATAATTATTTAATGCAGCAATATATTCCATATGACATATGCTCTGTAGTAGTTATCTGTGCTGATCGCTAGTGCCCCTATGAAATTAAGAAACTTCTTAAGAACCTAAGTAGCCTAAAATCCCACTAAATACCCATTCGATAAGAACCTATTAAGGGTAAGTTGGAAAAATCTAGGTTCTTCTACGCGGGTTTTTACTGTATAAGACTCTTAAATCGCCTTTTTTGTAAAGCAGATGCTTAGGAAGAAAAGGCTCATGCCACCCGCACACCCCCCCCCCCCCAACAAACAAACAACAAACAAAACTAACACCAAAAAAAAACATAAATAAAAAACAACAAACATACTAAAACAACATCAGACACTATGTTACAGTGCGTTTTATTCCCACATAGAACCGCTACGAAGAAAACCATTAAGAGAGAATCAAGAAAAATTTAGTTTTTTTGTGTGGGGTTTTTCTGTCAAAACAATCTAAAATCCCCTTTTTTGTAAGCGAAAGGCTTAAAAAAAAAAACCCCAACCCCCCCCCCCCCCCCCCCCCAAAAAAAAAAAAAAAAAAAAATGTCCGTAAAACTTTTTTTTCTTTTCTCAAGACACCATAAGTGGGCGGGGTCGTTTCATTGTTTCAACTTGTTGTGTTGAGAAATAAAAAATTATTGAGAGTCAAAACTTTATTACTTTTATCAGTGAATACAAACAAGATTAATATACACACTGACTGTGTTATTGTTCTTCATTAGAGATTTAAAAGGAGTGAACTACAAAAAGATTCGAGCCTTGTAACAATCACGTGTTCAAAGCACAATTGTGCTAGTCATATTCGCTATAACAGACTGCTTGATTCAATGAAAAGACTGTAACCGATAGCTACCATCAAATTTAGGACGAGACACTAAATATGTTGTAGAAGTACAGCTTTTAATGAAAACAAAAACAGTGTATCATTTAAGAGCAGGTCTAGTCTTCATTGTTAGGAGTGGATTGTGTCACAAACAGTCGATTGAGTAGGAATTTGCGCTTATCGATAGCAAGTTCTCTAGATTCTAGCCAATCAAATCCTTCTGTATTTTTTAATTCTCTTTTGGTTTCGATCACTTTACGGAAGGTGGAATCTTCCTTTATTGCTCGCATCCATTGCAGATACTCCAACAGTACTTTTCTTAGTTCTTTCCTGTAAACAGGAACGAGAACGTTCTCGGCTTTCACGCGCTCCACATTTTCTGAATCTCCGTTCCCTTCGTAATCATTGATCAATGCGTTGAGCTGGGCCTCGTGACGTTGATCTGTCTCGTCTAGAATACGCGACCAACGATTTAAGAGAGCTGTTTCTTCTTGAGAAGAATTCGTTTCTTGGCTATTTTGAGTATATGTTGCGAGAGGTCGCTTCTTCGCTGTCTTCATAATTTCCAGCACCCTAATGCAGGTATAAGTTATAGCCCGTGCTTGTCATCTTTGGTTTGAACAACACAAGTTCTGACAACAAACTAACCGGGAGCACGTAGCGTGCCTCTTTTGACGAGTATTAGTAAAGGCTGGGTTACTTAGAGTTCTCTTTTGTGTTCGATCCATCGCGACCAATTACATAGTCCTGAAATGACTATGTTGTTCTGTTGCCTTGTTTGATGCGCTTGCGTGCTTTTCTACTGCCTTTTCGTAGTATTTCCACCGATGTCTTTCCTTTCCTTGGTATTGTTAACTGATAAACGATTGCATCATTTCCTTCTTGTGGCTTTGATGGAGATGTTTCACTTCTTTGGCTGGTGTTTGTTTGATAGATCACCACTCTTACCTTAGGTTGTAATTTCGCTTTTTGTAGCCACTTTCTTTGCAGACCATAATCCAATTGATGTACATCTGTAAGATGGTTGGACAGTTTTACGACATATTTCGCTTTACAATGGGATCGGGATCGGGCAATCGTGGCAGACATGCTTAACCATGTTAGATGTTAACGCCACAAGAGCTTGGCAAAAATAAAACCGTTTCAAAGACATTTAACGTTATAAACATGTAAATTTAAGGGACAATCGGGACCTAAAACAGGACGAACGAGCCATTTTAAGGACACTAAGGACAAAACAAGGATTATCGGGACAAAAGGAGACAAGCGGGACTCTTTTAGTCATGTGTCTTTTTTCCTCATATACACGCGTGTGTGTCGCGCGTCGGTAGTCACGCAACCGCTCTCAATATTCCATTCATCATCTGTATTAATTTCGTACCAAAGACGAGGCCAGTCTAAGGTGTTTATTAGCCATTACAACTTACTAGTCAAGAACTATAATAAAACATTCAATTTAAACTAGTAATTACCTGAACATGCTTCGTGATCCTTTTGTTTTGTTTTGACAAGTTGACATTTTAGCACGCCCGCATAAATTAAAACGTTTCCCGCGCGTTTTATTCATGAGTCATTTATTAATTTTTTGCTGCCCACTTTGGCTGCCCAAAAAAGGGTAAAATTCTGCTACTACTTCATATCAAATTCTACGATGACCAGTTTCACGGATTAACAAACTACAGCTATTATCTTACCAATCCACGTCCAATATAACTCCACGCCTTTCACTTCACACTTATACAACGCTACTGCACTACTCTCACATCCATAATACACCCCCCAAAATTTCACATACCCTAAGTACAACGACACCCAAATATACGCTCCGACAGCGTCTTTTTGTTCTCTAATCCAGGACATTACATCACATTTCAGCGAGTAAAAATTGTAGAACACAAAATGAAGACAATAGGTCCTAGCTTTTTCTATTTTATTTCACCGCATATTTGCCCCATTCATGTTAGTAGGATTGGCTCCTAAATTGTGATACTACGAACAAGCCTTTTGAAATTCTCTTTGTCTGGACAATAACCAGCTATCGGGAACAGCAGCTTAAAACGGTGTTTACAATCAAAATGGGGTCTTATGTACGCTTACGACGTGATAGAGGTCGATATGAACTTTAATTGCTACTAAACAGTTGACAATAGTTGCAATTGTTTATCTTCTTAGTTTATCAGGTATGTTTTCCATCTCTATGTTGGTGAAGGCGGCGTTGAGTCAGTGAGGATCGTTACAGAGAAGCCGATGCTCAACGGTAGTATCACCATGGCACTCGAGCCTTGTTTCGATGACAAGAACTATTGGAGTTCTCCTCAGTTGTTTGTACACGCCGAAGAGCAAGAGACGTTTCGTTACCGTTATGTTGTGAAATACAATAAGGGACTAATAAAGACCGTCGCTACGTTTCTTTTTAGTACGATTACTGGAAAGAAGGATGAGAAAGTTGTGCAAGAGGTGGGCACACGCAAGTTAAATAACGGGACGCATCAGTTTGACATTTTTAAGAACCCCAGTGATCCCTCCCGAATGCGAAGTATTTTCGTTGGGCAAGTGTTCTTTATCAAACTTTTATGCGGGACACTGATAAATGGTGGTGATCTGAAGGAATTGCTGATAGATTGTGAACACATAGGATTTGGGCACCCATCGTATGCAACTGAGGACGTCAAACAATTTCTGAAGTGGGTCCAGGATTTGGCAGGTAACTTCCGCACTCCTTATCAGGCTGTCTTCTTGTGTTCACTTCTTGGTCAGTTAGTGGAACGCAGTCGTAATTGGGCAGCTGGATACACTTGCTGCTTTCTTGGAGAAAAGTGTTGTGATTTGATTTTGTCCTCCTTCGGTAGCTGCCCCCACAAGGAATTACCTCGCAGCAGCTTAAAGTTCATCAAAATTGTAGCAGAAGATCTCTTCAAAATTGGGTCCTCAACGGGTTGCCTGTTATTCATTAAATATTTCTGTAACCTGTTAGACGCCAACTATGTAATGCATGTGGTGGATAAACTGTCATCACAGACGTACACTGAACACCAGTTTGACCAGGATGTGATTGTTTTGTTACGCTCCCTGAAAGGTTTAAACGACCGTGCCATCTGTACAAGGTATTTGTCGCATGTCGTAGACTGTTCTCCATCAACCCGTTGCCTTTGGAATCTCTATAACAACATTTCCCGCTTCGACCCAGGCATGTTAGAGTTCCTAATAAAGGAGTTTCTAAGTGTTTACAACAAGTTCATTTCACGCGGTCGTGCAAAAAAACCGGATCTTCTTAACCCATTGTTTTGGTCTCTGGTGCCAGAAAGCTTGCAAGACAAACTGGCCAATCTCTTCTGCAAAGCACTTGCGGCTCAAGTTCCTTCAGAGACCGAATGGTCGAAAGAAAGGCTTCTTGCGTTGCAGGTCATCACTGTTGACACAAGGTTACATTCATCAGGTGATTTTCGTCAGTTTGCAATAGAGGTCATGACACACAAATGTAAAGAAGTGGTGTTCCTTCTCCCAGATCTACTGTCCTTAACCGCATATTGTCGTTTTTGGGAAACCACCCTCTCCGATGCAGACAAAGAAAAAGTTTGCGATCATTGGTTAAGAACATCCTATCGAAATATAACGAAGCCTAAAGATAGGATCCTGGCTGTTGTGGAAGCCTGTCAGACGCTATGGGCCACAGAGGCTTTGAAATCCAACAAACCACTTTGTGTGTTCATGCAGACGTGGGTGGAGCGGTTCGTTCTCAAGATGAGTTGTCAGTCCGTCATGAGTGCTTTTCCAGATGGTCAGAATAGTTCCCCTGCGGTTTTCCACCACCTTCTGTTACTCCTCAGAAGTGCCATAAAGCAGCACAGTGGCACAGGAGACCGTCGTTCAAAATATAGACAGATGATTCAGTTACTTGGCCTCGATCGTTCCAAAGAAAAAAAGAAGACTTCCACCAAGGCAACGCTAACTAGGTGGGTTGAGTGCTTATTTTTTACGCTTTAACGAAATATGAAAAGGAAAAAGGCTTTTCTAGTGACCAAGACCGTCTAGGAAAAGGACCAGTCATTTATGTGATCGGTGTACCTAGACTCCTAGATTTTGAACTTGGAGAACAGACGTAAAGAGTACATTAAAAGTTACCGTTGCAGCAAGGATACAATTTTTAAAAGCTACAATTAAAGAACCGTGAAAACTTACAAAGGAAAGAGATTTTTGAAGCTCGAAAGAGTAAAAAAGTTTAAAAGATTAATTTCACGTGACTGAGCTAATTTCAATAGTAAAAGACCCGATTGACTTAGAAGATAAGACGACTTGATCGAAACTAAGAACAGAGCGATGTAAAACTTATTAATTTTTGTTTCATTGCACCGAAAAGTAATACAGTTTGTTAATAGGTAATAACCCTACCCACCTGCGGATAAATCTCTATCCTGTAAATAATGTAATTGATTTTCTTAACACTATTTAGCTAAGGATAGCGTTACCCACCTTTTGAACAACTGCGGCCAATATCATCGAACTCAATTTATTTACACTATCTTGAATATTAGGGCTGAGGAAGAGGTTCTTTTGGCTGTGTTGGATGACATACCTGTGGCCGGTGACAAAGGACCAGAAGAGATTTTCAAAGCTATGATCTACGACAGTGATATCTGGGTGCCTATATTAAGCGCACTTCATCCTCAGAGCACTCTTATGGAACATCCAAATGTTTTGACCGCCACAAATGCATTGCTGCAATTATCCAGTCCTCTACAGAGGTCCAAGTTGCCTGTATCCTTTTTTCTAGATATGAAGGGGGAGGACCTCCGTCGACTTGCAAAGTTGTGTGCCCTGGCTTCTTCCCTGGATCCCGAAGTCACAGAAAAGAAACCAGATGAATGGATGGCCGACTTTTCTAAGGATCGGGCGACTGCACAATCCTTCTGTGATCAATACGCTAGACTACAGAAAACAATATTATTCCTTGAGGCAGTGACCAAGAACATTATGGTGATATCTGACGCACAGCTGATAATATCCGAAATCAACAAGAGAAAGAAAGTAAAGACAACCATCATCCTTGGAGTTGCTGCTCATGGTAGTTACTGGGGATCACTGCGCAGTTTGATTGACTCAGGAAAGGCAATCGAGTGGGCTCAGGAATCGGTTGTATTTACCAATATTGCGCGTCTGTGTATGAAAGAGGAGGTTGCAGTAAGTCAAACGCAAGTGGAGGTGGTAGCCAGTGATTCAGAAGATTTGCAGGAATCCAAGGAAGACGGTAGCACAGAACGTACAGCAGCTGAAATATTGGGCCTTCTAAAAAGCAAAGGTTTACCTAAGCTTGAAGAAGCGTGCACTAACCTGTTTGCAACGGATAAAGATCTAAGCTTTCAGGAAGTACAAATGCTCTTTAGCGGAATTGCTGATGAAATCGCCCTCAAAAAGGAATTGAAAGTGATCAGCTCCTTTTTTCCCACTTCTGCTTCTCAACGAAAGGTGAAAATGTTATTGAACGTCCTGTATTTTCCTCGCATCAGTGCAAAAGTTGAGCAGTTGATGTCGGTATTTGCAGCCCTTGGTTATGAAGGTACTGGAAATGGCAATTCAGTGACTAAGGCCTTAGAAGAAGTAATCTCCTCCGCTCATAACACCGATATTACACTAACTCGTCTCTCTGAAGTTGTTGAAGATACGACAGTTACCATCGTTGATCGCAAGCTTGATAAGAATTTGACAACCATCTTTACAACACTTCAAGAATCTAGCGAACTGATCTCCTTCATGAAAGAAACGGCTAGGGAAGACATCAGGATACTAATTGATGCTGTTGAAGAACATTCTGATCAATTCGTTTCGGAAGCTACTGTCTCGGATTTGATTGATGTTCATGGGTTTTTGCGCACCTTCCTACGAGAAGAGCCCAAAGATCCGTTGATGCTTCTGGACACCGTTGAGAAATGCTACTCTAAGCTTGAGAAGAAAGTAGAAATGGCAGCAAAAATCAAAGAATGCGGCTGTAATGTCCACAGTTTAAGAGGCCTCTATATGAATGTTGCCAACCGAGGAGAAATGACGAAGGAAATTATCAGTAACGCAGTGCAGAAAGGGTGTTACCTCATCAAGGCCAACTCAAATGGTTCATATGACGTTCAACTTAGCTATCGCCGCCAGGAAGGTGACTCTAAAGAAACAAGCTACAACATGGCAGAACTTCATGACCTTCGAAGTCGAGCTCTTCTTATTGTAAACACTGACAAAAAGCAAGAAAAGCAGAGACAATCCGATAACAGTGATGCTACGGTTGCTTCTCTGAACATGAGCTTGTCTACTTTTATCCAACAAGTTCAAAAGATTACCGACATCCTCAACATGGTCATGTCGTTGCGAGAGTCAGGCCATCCACAATTTAATGACGCATTTTGGCATAAGCTTAGTTCCTTTGAAGATACTTTGAGTCTGGCAAATTCGTTGGAAGCAAAGTTGAAGGAGTGGAGAAATGTCATGCGTGTTTTGCAAAAGGAACATTATTTCTTGAATTTCTTTCATCCCGACCAGCTTTGGATTCTAAGGAAATTTTTCTCCAGTCCTCTGTCCAGAACAAAAGCGGGTGTCTCTTTAAGAAACCAAGTCCACAGTCTGCTGCGATTTGTGGATCCCAGCGTTCGCCACAAGGACCTTGATGAGTTTCATCAACTTTACAAAAAACCGAAAGAAAACAATGGACGTGAAAATGACCTCCTCGCCGTTGGAGAAGTTCTTGATGCCATTTTTGTTTCTCGCCATACTTCAGAGGTACAAAAAGCTCGCCCAAATAATCAGCAAAGTGCGGTCAAGCCTGGAGAATTGTTTGTAGCGGTCCTTGAGGAAAACAGTAAACAGACAGCTCATGTGGTTATGTCTTTATTCGAACAGACAACAGGTTCGTATCCTCAACCTAGTCAGATTCTTTTCTGTCATTCTGAGACCTCTTGGGAAGAGGTTGAACGACTTCTGAAGCGTGCATTTGAAGCACATGAGCATTCCACCGCAGTCAAACTACACTGCCTGGCTAACGTAGAAAACCTTTCAAACGACATGCAGTTCGAGCTTGTTTCCGCCATCAGGGCCTACCAAGAGATGACAGATGGTGCATACTTGCTAAGCATCGTCTGCTGTGGGGGAATTCATCATCATATTGCCGATCAGTTTTCTTCATGCGCACACAACGATACTGGAATGACTGAAAATCAACTTCGCATCGCATTCCAAAAGGACTTCCCAGACATTTTTATGGTCACCTCAGACCTTCCTGGTGTAGGAAAAACAGAATTCATTTATGAACATGCTGCATCCAAGAACAAGAAGGTTTTAACAATTCCTATCAGTGGGCCGGTGTCTCGTAAAAGTTTGGTCAAGATGTTGTGTGGCTTGACGTTCGCGAAATATGAGTGCATTCATTTTGATGTTGGTGAGGTAAACGACCCGTCCGTTCTGGACACACTGATATTTGAACTTGTCATAGTTGGAATGGTGTCTGCCGGAACAGATCTCTTTCATCTTCCAACCAAGCACGTGTATATCGAAATTGCAAATACATTGAGGCACTGGTTGCAAGATTCTCTTCCCGTCACAAAGTGTTTTTCCCCTAAGCATATTAAGCTAGATGGATACAAAGACCTTGTTGTCAGTCAAGAACCATTCAGTGCTATGCAAGTGGTTTGCCAATATCTTCATGCTTTTGAATGTGGAAAATTGGAAAGCAAAGAGGTATGTCCTGCTGATTTGAAGCCTCTTTCTCCAAATCGCTGCAAGGAACTCCTGTCAAAGCACTTCTCATCAAGTGGTGACCTATCATACAACATAATTGAGAGTTTTGTCAAGGTGTTCGCTAACCAGCTGATGCAGTTTTCCGCAAGTCCTTACTTTAGACCGGTTAATTTAAGAGCTGTGCTTGGGCCTTCACACGATGTCCGCAACTGCTTGTTCAAAGCCCTTTTGGAAGTGTCAAGGGAGTTTGCATCGCGCTCTGTTGTCACCTGTAAGAGTGTTCAGTCAGAAGCAATCTCCAAAGAAAAGGCTGTTGAAGTACTTAAAAAGATTCAGTTGCAGTCAGGGAATGTGGCTGAGAAAATGGTCGAACGTGTGGAAGGAATGATACAGTGGGCCGATAACAATCACCTTGTGATTGTTTTCCACAGTCTTGAAGCCTTGACTATCTCGGCTCTGTATCGTGATTTGGCGTTGGTGCCCTCCAATGTCCGTGCGCTATTCAAGACACAAGCAGCGAAGGGTAAAAGCATGGTTGACTTCACAAAGATGAATCAGAAAGAGCTTCAGCAAAGATTAGATCGAATTGTTCGAACTACTCCTAGGGAAAAGGATCACAGCTTGCAGAACTTGGGCTACGCTCTTACCCCAGACAACATTCTCAAAATGGTTCTTATCATCCAACGCGTACGAGCAGGAATTCCAGTCATTGTTATGGGGGAAACAGGATGTGGAAAGACAAGTCTTGTTAGATACCTTGCGAAGACGTGTGGAGTCCCTTTTCACGTTTTTAATTTCCATGCAGGTGTCAGTGAGGAAGAGCTGGTCCGTTTCGTCCATAAAATGGAAAAAGAAGCGGCCAGTGCCAAAGAAGTTTGGGTTTTTCTTGACGAGATCAACACTTGTGATTACCTTGGAACTATCAATGAGATGATTTGTCACCGAAGCATCAAAGGCAAGCCTCTCTCATCTAACCTGGTCTTTATGGCAGCCTGCAATCCGTACCGTCTCCGTCCATCTGGAAAAATTACAACCGCTGGTTTAAATGGAAAGACGATTTCGGATGAATTCTCCAAGCTAGTGTATCGTGTCCACCCTTTACCAGAGACGATGATCGACTTTGTCTGGGATTATGGATCTCTAAGTGAAAATGATGAACGTGCCTACATATGTCGCATGGTAGAGGGAATCACCGGAAACCCCAACAACTTACTGGTTGATCTTCTGTGTACCTCCCAAGACTACATCCGAGACGTCGACAAGAGCCCTTACTGTGTAAGCTTGAGAGATGTCCACCGATGTATTGTTCTAGTTAAATGGTTTAAGAAAATATTGCAGCAGCGGCAAGAACTGCCTTTGTCAAAAAAGCAGGACAGTTATAAATACTACGACGAGGCTCGCACTTTTTCTATCCGCGAGAGGTCCTTTGTGCTGGCCTTGGCTCACTGCTTCCAATCTCGTCTTCCCACCACCAGTTCCAGGAAAAGATACTGTCAACACATTGTGGGTTGCTTTAGAAGCCACGGAAATTATTCGTTCAACAAGTTTAGTTTTGAAGCTATTGTAAGGGCAGAGCAGGAAGACTACCTGGAACGAATGGAATTGCCAGAAGGAACTGCTAAAAATGCTGCCCTTCGTGAAAACGTGTTTGTGATGCTTGTTTGTATACTCAACCGTATTCCCGTTTTTGTCGTTGGCAAGCCTGGCTGTAGCAAATCATTGTCTATGCAGATAATCCGGAGCAACTTAAGAGGGAAGGATGCCAAAGACTCTTTTCTCAAGACCCTGCCTCAACTTTACGTTGTTTCTCACCAAGGCTCTGAATCATCAACATCAGACGGCATACTTAAGGTTTTTGAGAAAGCGAAGAAGTATAAGGAACACAACAAATCAGGCGATGTCCTTCCAGTTGTTCTTCTTGACGAAATAGGTTTGGCTGAGGTCTCCAAGTACAATCCTCTCAAAGTACTACACAGCCTTCTGGAACCTGGTGACAGCATATTTCCTGATGTTGCCGTTGTAGGTATTTCAAACTGGGCCTTAGACGCTGCAAAAATGAACCGTGCGATCCATCTTTCTCGACCTGAACCTGATGTTGACGATTTGTTCGAAACTGGAAAATCGTTACGAGAAGCAGGCAGTGGCATCAGTGACTCTGGGGTATCTTGTACGCGTTCAGGTCGTCCGTTTGGCCAAGGAGCCTATCCAGATGACAAACAGCTACGTTGCCTTGCTGAAGCTTATCAGAAGTACCAGGCAGAGCAACGATATGCGAACTTTCACGGGCTACGTGACTATTACAGCTTAATAAAGTGTCTAAGTACAGACATGAATGGAGAATTCAGACAAACGTTTTATGAGGAGAAAACCAAGAAAATCCAACGGGCATTGCAAAGGAATTTTGGTGGCGTACCCAACGAGGTGAATAATTTTCAAAGTTTGTTTCAAGAGCGAATCCAACTTCAAGAACTAGTGGATCAAAATTACCAGTTTGCAGTAACCGACCTCATCTGTGACAATCTAAGTGACAAACGTGCTCGTCATCTGATGATAATCACAAACGGAGATTCTGCTATAGGCATCCTTGATCAGACGCTTCAGGATCTCGATAAAGAGAAGATCACGATTTTTGGCAGCCGATTTGAGGAAGATCTTTCCGAAGAGTACAATTACCGTATGCTAAGCCGTATCATTCTCTGCATGGAAAGAGACTGTGTTCTCATCCTGCGAGACCTAGAGAGTATCTACGGCAGTCTTTACGACATGCTTAATCAAAATTATACAGTAGTTGGGGGGAAAAGGAACTGCCGTGTCGCACTAGGGGCTTTCAGCAATCCAATGTGTCAAGTCCATGAAGGCTTTCGCTGTGTTGTGTTGATTGATCAAGGAAGAGTTGACTTCACTGATCCCCCTTTTCTTAATCGATTCGAGAAACAACTGCTTCGTTTTTCAGATGTCCTTAATGAAAAGCAAAGGAAGATTATCAAAATTCTAAAGGAATGGGTGAAACACATTTCAACGATTCCCGATCTTGAGTCCCAGTTCCACGAAGAAGACATGTTCATCGGATTTTGTGATGACACTCTTCCTTCGCTTGTCCTTAAAAACAGCCGAGACCCAAAGCTGGAGAGTCATGAAATTGTTGAAGAGTGCAAACGGGATCTGATGATGATAGCATCTCCTGATGGTGTTGTAAGGAGCGTACAATCTGTCTTGGCTCAGACGAATTTGGAAGAAGTTCAGATGCTTTACAACGACTATTTCCAGAAGCCTCTGCACAATGGTTTGAGAGATTACTTGGGACACTCGCTGGAAGGTTTACAACTTGATTGCAATGGTGAAGATGCCTCAAAGGGTATGCGACTGGTGATAATGACCCACAGTAACATTCATGTGAATGTATCTCAGTGCCTTGATGGTTTTGTTCAGTGTCAGACAGAGAAACTTAGTGCTTTCAAGTCCGAAAAGCAGTTGACCAAGGAGTTGGAACGATTCTGGGGATCCAGCGACTCTCTCTTGGTACTACAATGTAAACCAGAGCTAGATGCTTCGCATGTGCTTCTTGCAAAGTCCATTATTGAGCAGCAGAGGGAGACATACATCAAACGAGAAATTGACAAAAACCAGCGGCAAGTCAAGCATGTTTGCATTGTAATCCATGTTCAGAGAGAAAGTGAGGCCAATAAGGCTGAGAATCAGCGCTGGCAATTCAGTTTTCAAAGCGGATGGAAGCAAGTGACGATCGATGTGTTGGAAGATACAGTTTTGCCAGTAACTGAGTGTTTAGACGTCAGTGTCATGGAGCTCTTAGAGTCAAAGACGCTCTCATTTGAGGAAGTGGCTTCAAATCAATTCCTTTGGTGTTTTTTTCGCATCAAATATTCGCCATCTGTCCAGCCTCCATGGGAAGACATTCTTCACCTGGAAGATCGTTTGAGGTCATCGCCCAAGATCCTGGCATGCTTCAAGGAGCTAGTGAATCGTTGGTTGGCAAAAAGAGTTGCTTTCGATTCACATGAAGAAGATCGTCCAAGTTGGCAGTACTTCGTGGCATGTGATCGGCAGGCCTTAATTAACTCCTCGCATTTAGTGGGAGCTATTCAACACCATGTAAGCCATCTCATACGTCAACCACTTGCAAAGATTGTGTACTTCTTGGAGAAGGAGTCTGCTTGGCCGTGGTTTCTGTTTCCACAGGACACTCTTGACGAGGAGGAACTTAAAGTCTGGCTGCAACTGATCATGGATCGAGATATTTTTGATATTGATGATATCCCTGACCACCAAGGGGCAGAGTCCTACTTCATTTCTGAGCAGCGTGTGCAGCTAATATTCCCCTATTTCTCCGTATTTTACAAAAAAGTAGAACACGTGCAATCGATTTTTGTTGAAGACCAAAGACAACTTCTCTTGGACGGAACTAACCTAAACGAGAATGATGAGATGAGCGATGCTGTAGTAGAGGCTCAACTACATCGATTTGCTTCCGTTGTAAAGGAGAAAGTATGTCAAGTATTTGAGCTCGACTATCTTCGAAGTCGCATTGAATGCTACGTCGAGGATTTTCTCGACATGAAATCAGCTCACTTTTCAAGCGTTTTATCCCGAGGTGAAAGAATCGACTTCTTAAAGTCTGCAATGGCAAATGACGTAAAGTTCTCCATTAACGGCGACCCCGCTCTTCTGGTTACTCGGCTGCATTCTCTTTTCTGGCTGAACGAACCTTCCTATGTGGCAGCCCTTCAGGTGTTCGTGACGTGTTACAAGATCGCGAATGTAGAATTTGGGGGGATCGTCTCTGAGTTTACTCCCTTGTTTGAGAAAATGATGTTTCAGGAAAAAAATGCAGTAAAAAACGAACCCATTGAAGACTCTCAACAACTTGAAAGAAATCATTCCTTTGATGTACACCACAGTGAAGATGCATGTGCGATGGTGGAGAGCTCCGAAGTCGACGTAGTGGAGGTCAGCAGTGAAACATTTACCATAGAGAACGAGAAGAGACTTGAAAAAGAGCAAAACGATGACGAAATGAAGGCAGTGGGAGATATCGGCTCACAGATTGAGGAAGGAAAGGAAGATGCCATTGAAACTGAAAATCAAGGGGTTCAGGAGTCTAAAAACGAAGATGTAACACAGACAACGGGGCGAAATGATCCAGTGAAAGAGAATAGTGAAAGTGGCGTTTGTGAACTTGAAAGTGTGGGTGGAGAAAATGACGTGACTGTTGAACACAAAGGGAACACCGAATTGGAACTAAAACAGGCCGTAGAAGGTAGTCCACGAGAAATTGGGCTAATTGATAATAGCGGAATGGCAAAAGATGATATCCCATGTTGGCGCGTAAAACATGAAGATGTTGTCGAAGATACTAATGTAGACAATAATGATACAATAGGCGAAGAGCTAATCAGTGAACAACTCATCGCAGAAAACTTAGAGGAAACTGCAGCTACCAATGACGAATGGGAGGAGGGTAGCATTGGCACGGTAACAGACGACAGTGGTGTCGAAGGAAGCGTAAGCTTCAACGAAGTATTACTAGAGACGCTCTGTTCTGCGTTACTTCCAACGGACGACGTCGTGAAGAATTTAAAAGGCCCTGAAGGATGGCAGAGAACAGCAAGTCTCTTTCTGTCAACAGCTAGCAGAATGCAAGTTCAGATCCCTGCATTTCATTACCTTCGTGTCTGTCACGATTTTGTTACACTTTTGGTATTACCAGAGAGTCTTGAACCATATTCCCTCTATATGCTTGGAGCACTTGGAAAGACGGGAGCCTCTGAGGGCTATCTCGATTCCCCGGACACCTTTGATCGTATTACTAACGTCATTGATGAGTTGGAGCAACGAGGCGTTAAAAAGAGACGTTTGGAAGACTTTCTAATGCTCTTCTATGGACGTTGCATCGATTCAAATCCAGACACACCAGTACTTGGTATCATACTGGCAAAGATCAGTTCCAGTGGAGCGACAGCACTTCTACGACTTGCTGGACCGTTGCTGCACCGCATTTTTCTCACAGAAGAAAACTTCAGCCCTGGTGTCTTTCAAGTTTTCTTACACAGCTTGGACTCCATCAACGATCATCCAGGCCTCCAAGAGACAAGTGCTGCTTTGTCGACACTATCTGATGATGTTGAGTTGGACTCCCCTTTCGCAGTAGTGTGTTGTGATCTTATAAGTGATGTTGCGTTCCCTGAAGTAGACTTAACTACGATGTCACACTCAGAGGATCAAATTCTGACGAATTTTCGTAAGGCCTTTCAAACCCTAACAGAACCTTGCGAAGACACTGAACACGGATCGTTTCATCTTCTTTGTGCCACCGCTTATATGAGGTCATTCCTGGCATCATTTGCAAAGTTTATTTTGGCAAGGCGACATTGCCTTACTGAAGAAGGGGAGTTTACAGTGCTTTTGAATGAAATGAATGCAGCCCTTTCCTGTAATCACCTCGATCCTGTTTCTTCTAGGGCGGTAGAATTGCAGCTGTACTTCGTAAAAGAACTGAAGAAAGAGCTCTACATGTGTGAGGTTCGTAACATCTGCCAACGTAGCCCGAAACTTCCAGCGTTGAAGAATTTAGATTGGCATGATGAGGACCTTGTGGGCAAACTTAGTTTTGATCCTCTGCGAACCTATACAGAGAATTCTCAAGCACAAGCAGCAGTTGCAACTCTTCTCGAAAAGAACGACCTCAAGCCCCTTGAAGACACCATTCTTGCTATGTCAAGTTCTGCAGAAAAGAGGATTGAGATGGCTGCCACCCTGGCTAAGTCGTTTTACCTTGTTCGTTCTACACGACCTCTGAAGGACAGTGAGGACAAAGCAATAGACTCCTTCATAGGGAAACTTGAGAACTTTGAAAATCCCTATGTCCAGCTCCTCCTGAGAATTACGGGAAAGAAGGATTTCAAAAGTAAAAAACTTTGTATTTCTTCAGAGTCTTCACCAGCTGACGTGCACAGGGCGACTCTAATCCTACATCTTTGCTTAGTTCTAGCCTCTCATTTCAGTGGTGTTGAGCAGAAAAAGCTGGCGTTTATGTCATACCTTAATAGTCCTTTGGCCTCAAGCAATACATACGTGCTGGCGTCTGGAGAGGATTGTCAGCAACCATATGAGGTACACCACAATTACAGCTTCGATGAAACATCCTTTTTCCTTTGCTCCTGTAGAACATTCTTTGTTGCTGCAAGTGATGATGATGATGAAACAAAGTGTCCCAACTGTCGTTTACTTTGCAAAGCTGAGAAAGTACTTAGCAAGAATGCTGCAGCTGCCGTTAAAGCCATACAGCCATCTAAAGTTCCTGTCTGCCTCACATGTCCTCAAGATCTTTTAATTCACGTACGGCAAATGGATCCAAGAGAATTCCGAGTTCTCCACTTGTTCGTGCATGCAGCACTTTACGGAGGCTTCGCGATGAAGTTGTTTGATGAAAATAGTCTGACCCAAATACTGGGCAATGCTGCTACGGACAGTGATCCTTGCGAAGTGTGCTTTCAACAGATTGATAACGATCTAAGAGCGTTATGTCTTCTTTTAGACGCTAAGGAAGAATACGTCATCGGTTTCTTGCACTGTGCTTTGCTCAAAAGTATTTCCATCCTTACTTCGGGAAGCCTATGTCAAACAGAAGGAGAAAGGTTGGCATGGGAAAACACGTTCGCTGAAACCGTGCGCCCTTTACTCCGAGAGTTTTACCCAAGAAAACTTTTGACAAGTTTGCAAGACTTCACGAGCAAGTCTACAGTGGCTGTTCAAAGGAGGATAGAGGAAATTGATGACCCCCAGTTCTCAAACACGGCAGAGAGAAACCTGCACCTTCCTAGATTGTTGCGTGTCACGCTGCCTAAAACGTTTTCGTCCCTTAGAGCGTATTATATGTCAGCTGATCACGATACTAAGAACCACCATCCTCTTCTTGGGTTATTCCTTGATTTTAACGACTCTCTTCCAAATGTTGCAAGCCTCCACGATCTCCTTTCCTGGAGTCGTATTGTGGACTCGCTTCTAAGTAGACGTCTGAGTCGCCACGAAGCCACTACAAATATAGGAGATATCATTCGAAAACAATTTCCTGAGGAGAGAAAGCGATTAAGTGAGATCTTCGAGAAGTTCAGCATGGCATGGGAGAGGATGCGTCCTTTTGTTAGGGACCGTTTAAAGCAGGATGTGCCGTACCTAAGCGAAATCTCACCCATTTCATTTTGCTTGATTGAGAAAAGAGGCCAGGGTGCCTTTCTTTGTGCTGCTATGGAAATACTTCAAGAGATCCAGAATGATTTCTTACAGAAGATGCTCAGTATTGCATCAACAGGAAAATGTTCTGCGCTAGTCTTTCTGGAGAGAGAAGAAGGAAAATTCACTATTCCAGTCGTCCACTTACAGGAAGCTCGGGAGAAAGAGATTATCCAATATCAATGGACAGATGAAATTTTAAGGCATTCTCAACGTAACACCGAATACGGCCATGGCAGGGAGATCGTTTTTGATCTTGCAAAGATTGAAAAAGAGATGGCAGTCAGATTCTTGGTGGGAAAGTCCTACCTTTCAACTCTCGAGGGATTACAGGAGTTCATTTTTGCCCGAGAGCTCTTTCACACTTGTAGAGGCATTCTGGACGACTTACAAGAGCTGATTCCGCAGCAACCACTCACAGATGTGTTTCGAAGTAGTCTGTCCAGTCAGGGTGAGCAGAGTCTGAAAAACGTACAAGATTTGCTTGAGCACATGGAAATTGTCCTTTGCCTTTTAAAAAGACATCATGTTGGAAAACCAGACGACCCGTTGATAGAATTTACAGACAACTGGCTGCGTGGACCAAGACCGTTTCCAAAGGATTTACTCCCTCAGCCCCACAGCGCCATCCAGCTCACACATGTAGTTGCCTTGTACGAGTTTCTCGAAGACATGTTGGCTGAATCGGCTGCCAAACGAGTTCACGACATGTATCGTGTACCCATACCTGAAGAGATAGCTAACCAAATGACCAAGGGAAACCCGGCTTCTGGAACAACCGAGTCACACCGTTCTGTTATAACTGCCATCAATGTAGCGCTCAAACGCTTCATTTACCGTTATCTTTCTTCTGAGGAAATGAAACCTAAACCAGCTGACAGTCTGAAGGAGCGCATGCAGGAGAGGTCGCTTTGGCCAATCGATGCATTCAAGTCGTGGAACCTGAAAGTGGAATCTCCCGCAAAATTCATCGGTGCCGTGTTCCCCGAGAAGCTGGCCATAAAACATACGTACCAAGTTTTATGCTTTTACCATGATCGACTTAAAGTAAGTGATGTAAAATGAACTTATCATTAATTCTGCAATAATTCTCTCTCAACACATTTTAAAGCTGGTATTTTCCGCTGAGACCCTATACAGTGACCCTAGTTTCTTTTAACTTTGACAGTGAGAGTTTTTCCTTGGGTTCCGCATCTCTCGTCATTGTTTTAGGTCACATGTTGTATCATGTGACGTTTTGTTGACTGTGACCCCTCCACCCCCATTCTCCAGGTGGAACGCAAATGTGTATGAATTCGAACTGCATAGGTAAACGAACGGGAAAACGCTTTGACTATTGGCAATCTTTGTCTTTGAAATATTCTGCGCAAGTTATTTAAACGGAGTTTAGCACGTGTTTTTCGAAATCGCGTTCTTTTCAGTTTGCCCAACGCTTTTATCTAAACATATGACCCACTAAGAAAGAGCCTAAGTTAGACTTCTTTTAAATAACCAACCCTCTGTATCTTAAAACTGCTTGTGACGTCCCTTTTTTGACACGTCATGAATACAAATTCTACCCAGCTAATCAGAAGAAGAACCCCGCTAACCGTCCTTAAATTGAAAAGCGACATCTAAAACTGAAATCTGGCCATACAGTACTTGCCAGTCTGATGATCGTCCACTGCTTGAAACTCAAGTGACAAAACTTTATCCTTAAATTTGTGTTGTATAGTCGTGTAATATGTTCTATGTTATGTTCTTCACTTTGTTATTTGTTAGGCGTTAGAAGAGGCAAAACTCGTTCCTCGGAATCCAACTCCGAAGATCAGCCGTCCCAGTGTTTCAAGGTCCCGTCAGCTTAAAACTCGAAAGCACTTCAGCAACTTCTGAGGTGAACAGGAAATGCCCCGTTGGTGTTATACACACAGTTGTATCCAGTTTTACAGGATCATCAAGTTTTACTGCAGAACTGGGGCGGATCTAGGGGTAGGTCGAACCCCTAGGCTGAAACTGTGGACGTCTTAAACTTGCAAATAGGACCTAAACTTATTAAAAAGAACACTGCGCAAAAAGATTGGCAGACTGTGAGATCTGAGGGCTAATAATTAACAATTTCGCGCAGGAGCAAATCCCCGGGTCCCCCTAGATAATCCAACTTTCAGATATTATTCTATCGAATCCCTTAGGAATAAATACTAGATCCGTCTCAGGCATTGCTTATTGTAAACTTCTGTTTTTGTAATGCATATTTTGTCACTGTTTTGTACGGATACTGTAAATCTTTTGAAAAATTCGCTCGAATCGGCACGCTTATACTTTCCCTTAATTGAAAAGGTCACCCCGTCTTCATTCATCCCTCCCCACCCACTCGGCCTTTCTACGAGCACATTTTGCAAAAATGATCCTTCCGTTTCTGAACCAGTAGTCGCACTGGATTGTGCAAGATCGTTTGAATTATAAGACAAATCAAAATTTTTGAGATATGGAAAAACTACATAATCGCCTTCACCTTGCTGTGTAAGGCTGTTTACAGCCTGTCTATTTTCCCAATGGAAATAAGAATTAACGCGACAAAAAGGCTAGGAAGGCAATGCGAGACAAGAAAGACTTTCGGGCCTTCGTAAAAATGCAAAAATATAGAGAAATTTTAGGGCGCTCATTATTCGATGATTTATGGTAGTAGGAATAGTAAGGGTTTCTTTTCATAAACACTTTTCGCTTTTTTAAATCGGATAGCAACTGATATGCTTCTCTCTGATTCATTTGCTAATCTTTTAGGGTAATGTTGTTTGCTATTATTGTTTTAGTAAAACAAGAACGACCCTCTTTGCCCCCACTTTCCACATGCAAGTCTTCTTAGATTTCTCATGTCTTTTCCCCTTTCACCCCGAGATCTTGAAAAGTCTGAGGTGCCATGAGCAGGCTTCATTTGGTCAGTAAGACGTCAAGGCAGTTGTATTATATCGATCCCAGTATAGCTGGAAATTTTAGAACTGTCATCCCGCGGGAGCAGAGACGGCCGGATGCCTTTTTCGTGAACAAGTGAAGATTTTAGAAGACTAGAGAGAGAGTTCCCTTAAGCTCCAGTAAAATGGGCACCGAAAACGTGCAACTTGTTTTGCAACATTGCTGCAAAACGAGTTGCATAGCGATGTTGCGCGTTTTACCATCCACGAAAACAAACGTTACAAAACAAGTTGCATGTCTTTTGTTGCCTGTTTTACCGTACCTTTACTAGGGTGCGTGATCGCGCAAAGCATTTTGTAGGGAACAAGTAGCAGTAAAACTAGTAGATTTCGTACTGGCAAATTTACCTTTTTTGAAACGTTCAAAAGCGTTTTTTCAGTTGTGTTACTAGACAAAATGTAGTCTTTTCGTAGTTAGAAGAGGAGAATGGTTATGAAAGACGGCAAACATCATAGATAAAAGTAACAGCGCTGTAGCTTATGTTGGAAGCTCCCTGTCGGCTCACGGTCTTCCTTTTTTGTTCATAAACTGTGACGGAATACGTTTAATCCCACGTTTTTATCTGTCAATAAGATCAGAATGATAGGAATGCTATTGAATTTTCATACCGTCAAGTCCACCACAAAAATATATTACAAAGGAGTTTGATGGTCTTCATAACCATTCCACTCTACTACCTATGGTCTTACCGATAATATTTTGGGGTTTTAAAAGCCTTGTAAATGGCGTAAAGTTTATCAGTCTTTTTCACTACCAACAGGATTTGTAGCCGATATTTAAGTACGATATACGCCAACAATATACATGTTACTATTAATCATTAGGTGAAATTTTAGTGTTAGCCTTACGTTAATTGTTGAGCAGTTGCAAATCCTTCTTTACGGTTGGCTATGTACATTATTCCAGAATGGTGGCAAATCATTCTTTTGTTGTCATTATATTTTATGGTCAATGCCTTGTTTCAGGGTAAGGTTCTTTTGAATTTGGCAGATACAATAATTTTGGATTAAGGTGTATGCTTTGGCCTTCCTAGTGTTTAATCCTCAACATTTGTTAGATATGCACTTAAAACTAAAAGTTGAATATTAATTTTGATTAAACGATGTAGTGCAGTAGAGAGTGGTGGTGGAGAATTTTTGTCTGGGATATCAGATTTAGTTTAGTTGATTACAGAAGTGAGCCGACTTGCCCTTTCAAACCCCCGCTCAAACCTTTGGCACCGTTGTACATAGATTCTGATCTCGGCAAATGAGGCTTCGTCTTTGCCGATGTTCGCCGATCCTTGCCGAAAATCCTTAAATAAGAATGACTGAGACCAGGTTTTATGAGCCCGCGAGACTGAGCACCCCACCCAAAACCTTGTTTTCACTAAACCGCTGGACACCACAACCTGATTGAGGTCATTATTATCTAAGGTCTTCCATCCTTGCCTGATGGTCCCTGTGCGCGTTTTCCCAGGCCTTCTTGGTGAATTCACTTATGTGACGAGTCCGAGGCAAGGACCACGAGAGGCGAAACTATTTTGTCGCGCGGAATAATGAGGCCCAGGGACTAGACATGCTTCGTCCCAAAAGCTTTCAACTGGCCCTGGCTGTTCAAACGTTAGATAGCGCTATCCACCGGATAAATCACTATCCATCGGACAGGAGCCCATGATCCAGAGCCTCTATCTCCACTGATTTCTTGAGTCAACCCCTTCCGAGTAGCATGCCCCCGGATCCCCCTAGATACTCTTGTTTTAGTGATCATGGGCTCCTGGCCAAAGTAAAAGCTCCAGCTTAAGAATGGAGCCAGGGTGAAAATGAGACCCTGTTCAGTAGATATCGAGAAAGAGGCCGTTGGCCTTTTTTCAGGCAAGTCAAAAAAAAAAGATTATAGGGGAAATTCAAACCTATTTTAATGTCAAGCCATGGCCAGAGTGAAATAAAACACATCTTTCTTCAAGGATTAGGTGATTTTTATACCCTCTTTCAGAGTCAGAACGCGAAGGCAAAAAGCATACCCTGTTGAGGGATTAGCCCCCACCCCTCCCACCGCCGGGGGTAGCCATCCCTGAAAATAACTCGGTAGGAGTCTGGAAATCGTAAGCAGTGGCTAAACCAAAACGACGTTTACAATGGTTTATAAAACGAGGAAATTTATTTGAATTCAACAACGACAAGTTTATTCAGTATATCATTTCTATACCTGGGGCTACCGACTGAAATACAAAAACAGATAAATTTACGGAAATACAGGAAAAATTGAATGGTATAATTAATTAATATGCTTCTTTCGTCCTTCAAATGCTTGAAAAACGAAATTGGCAGTTAGCCTGCTGATATGCGACTCAGTATCAGAAAACAGACTTAAACATGTTTGTTGTAATTTGTAAATGTATTTCGTGTCGTTTTAATACAATTAGAGTCTTTCCCATGATCATATAGGTTACAGTGAAATGACACGTGCATTTAATTTTCAACTACCATCCCTAGCATTAGTTTCCTTCATTTTACCCGATAATAACCATTTTGTCTTTAAGTTTATTAACAAAACTCCCCTATAACACAGCGCAAACTAACGAAATAATGAAACCAAAACATTTTACGGTTTCACTTCGAGAGCAGGATGCCCTTGCCGCACATAAATCACCTCAATTTGTCTCTGATTTATGAACAGGCGTTTAAACCTCAAAACGCTATTTGAAAAACGTGGCCAACTCCCAGTCCTGAAGTCGTATTAGTCATGTCGTCAGAAATTATACTTCTCATCTGGTTTCTTGTCAAAATACGACAATTGTCGTCCTGATTCGGTTCCCTTTCTAATGTCCATTTTCGGCTCCGGTTGTTAACCAAGTCCATAAAGAACGACAACTGTATAAAGTTTTACTTAGCAAAACTTTTCAGATTTTCAATATATAACCAAGACTTCTTTGGCTGTTGATTTTCTTTCCTTTCTTTAAATCTACAGTTTTTTTTATCTTGAGCAACCAAAAGCTAGCGATAATCTGAAAGCTTAACTACATTCCATTTACTATGAAATTCAGCGGACACTTAAATTACATGATTACATGAGTTCGTTACGACAATAGAAAGCGAAAAATTCGAAAATAGATTCTTCGATGCACCCTAATTCGTCATTCTTATCTATCTTCTCGTGTGGTTGCCTTCGTAATGGTGGTGTCACGTGTTACGAGGACACTGAAGCGTCTTGTGTTATTAAATCCTTATTAATTCACATCTGAACCAATAAAGAGATCGCATTCCCCGTCTGTGTTAAAAGTATGCCCTAATCCGTAATCTCCACAGGCTTATTTCCAACAGGACAGAGCACGCAAGTCACCCCATAAAATTTGAAGATATCTTGGAAGAATAAATAATTCCAGTAGTTTTTTGTACTTTAAATGCTATTTATCTTGCAAATAAGAATAAGCTCTAGAGCATACTTTTTTCTCTTAAATATCGCACACTAGTAAATTATAAACAGTTTTCTAGGATATTAATACTTTGAATAGTTAGTTATATATTATAAGGGGGTATATCTTGACTGAGAAAATAAGATCACTGTTAGGATATTTTGTATCCTAAGCCTCGGCTAAACTGCAAATATTTTCGTGCAACATCATGTTTGTCACGTACACGTAGTGTGGCGGGGCGGGAAAGGGGGCTAGAGGAACAAAAAAAGTTTGACCATACATACATCAGAGAAAGTGAGCCCACGACACTGTTACATTCTTATGGGACCGGAGTGCCCCCGCCCCTTTTAAAGCTTGGTTTGCTATTGGCTGAACGCTCAAATATTTGTTCGTGACAAAGAGTAAGACGTTGGATGAAGATGTTTTATCTACAGATCAAACATGGGAAAAATGCAAAATTTTGCTGAACGGTCCAACATACTCTCTCCACATGATATTGGGCGAACATGTTTCATCGTTTAGCCGTAGC